ACATGGAACCGGCAACGACTGAACATGCGACCAACGCGGTTTTGGCCGTGTTCAGGTTGGCGCAGCCCGGTGCGAGGCCCAGGCCGCGCTGCAAAGAGCAGCAAAGCTAAAGAATGACACATCGTAGCGGAGGCTGAGTGGCGTGCTGGCTCGTTGCGTACAGAGCACGTTGGCTCGAGTCGCGGCTCCTCCCAGCGCCCATGCGAAGAGATGGAGCCTTCTGGTGTAGGTGCTTTCTCTGGTGTCCTGGCGTCGGGATGTCTTGCCATTGGCGGCGTATGGCTCCCTTCAGGCTGCTCCCGCTCAGTGCTTCCCTGAGTTGTCTTGTCGAACAAATGAAATGGAAAATGTTTGCAACAAGCTTGTGTGGTACCGTGGTGCACGCTCCGACTGAGGTTGCGATTGTGGCGGTTGCCCTCCTGTGTACCGCTTGGTCGAGTGCCGCTCTGGCAGCTTTCATCCTCTGCTGGGAGCGGGCAGCTTGGATGAGTAGTTTCGCCAACTTTGCGCTTCATTCAGCGCCTTGGAGTTCAAAGCTTAGCACTTTGCACTTTGCACGCCTCATGCTTCAGTTCCTCTCGTATAAACCCTATTGGGCTGAGTGCGAGTAAGGAGTCAGTCAAATCGACCTACTTGGAAGTCTGGTGCTCGCTAGTGTTGCTGATTACGGAGAGATTGTTTCCTGCTGCAGTTCACAACTGGCTGCCGGCAATCCTATTAGCACGACATGGTGGACGCTGCAAAATGGTTCCTGATATGTTGTCGTCATTGACATTGTGGCAATTGGCGGGCGGCCTGTGCCTTGAAGGCGAAGTCGCATTCATTTCTTCACCAAGCAGATAACCTGACATGTGCAGGCCTTGGTGATGGGGGTTTAGGGGTCTATGCAATGTCGCAAATGCGGACGTTGCTCTATGCTGAATTCGGCCATAGTAATGCCGTAGTAGGTCTCAGTGGCCAGCTGAAGCCCACGTGTGCTGACTGTGACCAGCATGTCTGCAAGTCTGAGTTCGCAGAACATTCCCCAGGAAAAAAGGTATAGTTGTCATCTACGTCTGACCAGCTTCTAGCCGCGCGGTGGATGGGAGTTGTCGGTGCCAGGAGCCAGGAGATTTCCCGGCTGGTGGAGCAGGCCGCAGCATGCAGATGTGTGGGTTCTGGGGGGGTTTCTTTTTGAAAGGAATCATTACCGTTGCGGATAATCATTGCCTGAGATCCGGGAGAGATGTAGAGCTTTTCGGCCCTTCGGGGCTAGCAAGTAGTGTTGTCCCAAAGTGCAAAGCTCTCACTGAGTCCTCCAGCTTTCGGAACCCTGCGATCTTGAGCGCAGCCTCTGCTGGCTCATCGCGGAGCTAGTGTTATCGAGTTGTGCACAGGAAGCCCGAGCCGGAGTCCGCAAAGACTGGTAGCCGCATGACGCGGGTTCTGAGAAGAGTCTGCCAGGCCAGGCAGCCTCTCGCACTGCGGTCCGAGGAGCTTTCAGTACTGGTACCTCAGTCGGACGGAGCAGGTGCTGCCCACCTGCTCGGTGCGTGCAAACTGAGGTCTGGAGCTTCGCAAGCCTCTCCGTGGACAACCCGGCCGTCGATCGCATCCTGAATGCCGTGGAGCAGTTGGGCTTCCAGAACTTCCGGACAAGTGACTTGGCCAGGCCCAGCTTTCCAGCTTTCCCTGCTTCCGCAGCTTCCCAGCGCCAGCAGCCGGCGCTGTTAAGCAGTGCAGGCTCTCCTGGTCTCTGACTAGCCTTAGAAGGGCGAGGGCGAGCACCATGCTGGAAGATCTCCAGAAGGCATCGGGATAGCTCGGCTTTGAAGCTGTGAGCTTGGATTTCCACAACAACGCAAGTGTCGGCATCTTTCGTTGCAGGAGTTTTTGCATCGGCTAAGACGTGAAGGTGTTGATGCAGACTCTGCGGTCTCTGCATTGACGCTTCTCTGGTCGCTGTGCCCTGTTTACCACGCCTTCTGGCTTCCATACAAAGTTCCACGTGGCAGGAGTGGTTCCTTTGCCGGTGACCTGTCCGTTTGGTTTTTCCATGGTTTGTGCGGCTGTGTGCAGCTTTGAGGATGGTTGCCAAAATGGAGAGCCTTGGAGATGGAAGGCAGTGACTCTGACTGCTTTGCGCTGCGGCGCTGCGGCGCTGCGGCCTTTCGGGCTGGCCTTTGCTTCCAGGTTCGCTGGCGCAGTTCGGGAGGTCCTGCGACCAGACTGCCCGGGCCCGCACCCCTACCCCTGCGGCATCCGTGGCACCGCTCGCCGTGGCTGTGGCTGGAGGCATGTCTGCGGAGAGCATCGGAGAGCTGCGGTCTGCAAACTCACATCCTTGACGAGGAGAAGGAGCAGGAAGGAGAGAGCCCCATCTGGTGCTTTCTCTGGCTGACCTCGCTGTGGTGCAGAAGCCTCCGGAGTGGCAGGCGGGGGAAGGCCCAAGAAGATGGAAGGCTGTCAGACTCTGTCAGACCGGCAGGTGGATGACGGAGAGGATTCTGAACCAAACGAGCATCAGACTCTTGTCTTCAGCATTGAACCTCAGGTTGCATAAGGGTCGGCTTAGGGACCCTGCCGGAGCTCCGTCAGCTTTCACACGTTTCAAGTCCTCAGGAGGGGTCTACTCTCAGCCTATCTGCAGGCCGGCACCTCACCTTTCAGTCGAGACCTGTGGCTCTCTCCTTGGAAGGCATTGTTTCCAAGATGCCGCAAGCTCTTCACGAACCTCGAGCGCAGCTGTGGCCCTTGACGAGCAGGCGAGTCAGCGAGTCCGGCTTTTGGGGTCGGCTCTCAGGCCGGGGATTCCTACACCGCCTGGACGTGCCAAGCTCCGGCCTGTCCCGAGCTTTGACAAAGCATGGCTTCACCCTCACCCAGCGCCCAGCGAGCCCAGGATCCTGGTGGCCAAGTCGCATGAAGCCTGGTATCGCTTGAAGGTGCAGGCGAGGCGCTCAGCGAGTCTGTCAAGTGACGATGACATTGTCCTCTGTGGTTGCCTATGTCCGCACCACTTGCAGGCAGCCTGTGGTGGAATTCGGCGTGACTACATCGCCCTGTGCCACGGCTGGATGAGTGCTGGTCGACAGGCCAGTAGAATCAGTAGGACTTCCAGAGTTCCGCAACATGGCACAGATCGACAGGAAATTTCAGCGCGAGTTCACTGGTGGCCGGATGGCAGGCCGTCGTGCCTTCGATGAAACGCCCGGTGGGCGCATTCGTTTGTATGGCCATCCAGGAGGGGGCCAAGCCATGTACGGAAAAGCGGGCGGCTTGCAAAGACAATGCTCAAGGTCACGGAGTTGCGCAGGCGCTATGTCCTTGTGTCCATTCCTTGTCCATTCATTGTTGGCGGATCGTGCCACGCGGCACGAGAGGACCGCTGCGAGAGGTTTCAGCCTGATCGACATCCGGATTCTGACCGGGCGTATGCACCAGACGCTGACTCGGGCTGACTCGGGCGTTGGAAGGTGCCTGTAGCCTGCAGACAGCCTTCCAGTTTCGAGGATCCGGCTGCACACGGCACACGTGGGCCATCCCACGGTCAGAGACGGGAAGTATACGCCCAATGCGACCTTTCAGGCCAGGCGCAAGAAGGGCAGCCTGCCTCACAAGTGGTTCCTGATGGGTATTCCGCCGGCTACTGTCGCATGTGTCGGTGGGTTTGAGTCGGTTTGACTTCGGGGTCGGGTGTTCTTGCTGAAGATTTGGCCGATGTCAGCGCAGATCAGCGTGGATGGGCTTTTGAAACTTGCGCGGGCCCGGTAAATCTCGTAAAAGAAACACGCGCGGACTCGTATCCAGGCATTTGGAAATTACCAAGGTTACCCAAAGAAGCCAACGTTCAATGGAAAGCAATCAATTGACAGCAGCAAACGTTGATCTGAGAGGTAAGAGGTTAGAGACAGCGCAAACTTCAGGAGCTTTTCTTGTGAACTTCTTGGATTTGACTGCGTTGGGGTTTGGGCTTTGGCTGGGGATGATGAAAAGAATTTTGCATTCTTGGAAGCGCTTGCGATGTCGTTGGCTGGCCGTGTTGTAGTGCACAACATCCGGGTCAGGGTGCTTCTCGCCTTGTGCTTATGTCTTGGGTATGCCAATGAAGCTCAAGTTGCACTTGCAGATACAAGTCCGGCTCAGATGACGACCTTCCAGATTTCCAGAGATCGCCCAAAAGTGAAGATTTTAGAGCGCCGACAAAATCTCACCGGCTGAACTACTATGTCACCATGCCTCTTAGTTTTGCCCGTGCTGAAGCCACGACTCCGACACCTGGAGTCTTCAAACATGTGTTGTGGTCAATTGGCAGTCAAGCTGTGAAGATAGTTGGAAGTGGCATACTGTTTCAATGGCATGCCTGGTTCGAGCAGATTGATAGTGATAGCATGTGATAGCATTTCTAGCTTTTGGGGATCTGAGCTCCAAGATGGCTGGATCTGGGCACAGGGTTGGTTCCTTCGGTTTGACACCGGGGCGAGCCGAACTCGTCTCCGTGAACATTTGTGTGTGTGTGTGCGCGAATGTAACTGCGTGTGAGGCGAGCAAGTGACGGGAGTTATTTTTTTAAACGTCGCTGAATAATTTGCAAACACCATCAAGAACCCAGCGCCTTCGACCCTGTAGTAGCTCTTTCGTTCCTCATCCGAAGCATAATTCGGCCCGATTCGCCGGGTCAGTAGACTGTGCAGCTGATGCGGCGATTGTATCTCAAGCAGTCAATTAGAACTCTTCTCAGAATCTTGCAACTAGGAATGAATAGAGTTGACATTGTTACGGTTCAGCCGGCGCAGATGCCCCAAATGTGCAAAGATTAATGGGAAGTTGGGTTTAAGAAGTAGGATCGTGTTCGCAACCGGAGTATTCGGAAACTGCACTAGTTCGGAGCGAAATCCCCGTTTGCTTCGCAACTTTTACTTGCCTCAGTTGTGAGCTTCCGGTGTGGCCGATCTCGAAATTGTAACCCAAACTGGAAAACAGGAAGATGCCAGCTGGTGCCCAGAGCACTTTCTGCACCGGTCGTGCCCTAAGCTCGACCTGCTTTCTGGGAGCGGCGATACTGTTGCAAATCAGGTACTCTTTGGCTTTTGTGGACATGTCAAAGCGGCAGCACGAGGCAACTGTAAAGCAGTATGTAGATGTGACGTGACATGAGAATTTCCTGTCGCACCTCGAACTTTCATGAAGTCATGAGGTCTTCGAGCCGTTGGCCAAGAGCTTGAAGGAAACTCTAAGGCAGCTTGGCCATGCCAGGAGGATCATTCCGCCAGGTACATAAGGGACCTCTCATATGCCATTGGGCATGCGATGTAGAAGGGAGTCCAGGAAGGAGAGTCGCAATGACCATTGAATTCCGTCGGACCTCTCGGAGCTTTACCGACTTCGGCTCGGAACTCGGAACCGGGAGATCGAGACCGCCGAGGGCAAGGACCTGGAGGTTGCAGTGGACGGCTTGCGAAACGGGGCAAAGGATCGCTTCAACGAGATAGTGCGCACGCGTGACACCATGTCACCGGGAGCTCCAAGCCTTTTGCGGTCGTGCCTGCATGGCGATCACGAATGGAACGTTTCGTGTGAGCATGACGAAAATATCGCCGGTAGCAGACATAGATGAAGCTTCGGCAGCCGATGCACAGGTCATAGGAGTCACGCTCTGAGCAAGGATGAAAAGTTCCTTGTGCTCTTTGTTCTCAGCTCTTCGCGCTTGTTTCAGCAAGAGCTGAAGATGGCCATGCCCCCAACTACGGCCCATAAAAGCAACATCACCACCTCGCAGAACGGTCCCAAAGAACTTGGTAATCGTAGGTTGAGTGAAGCGAAAGCACATTCTTGCCGTAGTCTCAGGAGCGTAAACATGAGCCACTCTAAGATATCTTCTTGAGATTGCAGATTGCTATGGTATTTCGAGCATGCCGGGGGTGCTGCACTTTGGGCCTCTTCTTGGCAGCTCTCTGGGTGAAGGCTGGAGAACGCAGACTACAAGTTCTTGGGCTGTGCTGCACAGCAGGTCAACTACAGCGTGACCTTCTCCCTGAACCCTGATTCGAGCAGGCTCCACAGTCCTAGGAGTGATGAGGGTCATTGGAACAGCCTGCTTTTATTGTTTACGTGCAGGCACATACAAAGTAGCTGCACAATGTGTAGGCATTCCACAACATACAGGGTGTGAGTTTTCGTTCAGGATTGACAGTTTTGGGTCTTTCGGATTTGCGGAAGTGGGTTTCTTGTTGTTGAGTTTCCGAGTCGGCCCCAGCCATTCACTCGGCCAAACGCCCTTCTTGAGTGAAGAACCGCACAGAACTATGCAGAACTTTTCGGTTCGCCGAGACAGAACTTGATGTAGTACCCATGCTTGTCTAACTCCTGTGGCATACGTACATATGTCACTCGATACCTTGCCTCAAATCATTTGACGGTCTTCTTTGACTTCTTTGAAGCCTGTCTTGCAACCCAGCGGGGGGGTGCTCCCGGCAAGCTGAGTCTTGCCGCAGAATCTCTTGACGTCGGGCTTGCCAACCCGAAATCCAATTTTACGGTGGGGGGAGAGGGCGGGGGTGTGGGCTTCGGTCACTGGGGTGGGAGGTGGGGAAACAGGAATCCGCGTACGAACCTCTGACCGCTTCGGCCGGAGCCGTGGCGAATTTGCATAGAGTGTTGGCAGCGACACGCAGCCTGGCAAGGGCTTTTGATGGTTTCGAGTGTTTGTTCCTTAACGTGCCAGCCATACGAGTAAATTGGACCGCATGGAGTCGAGACTTGTGGATGGGCAAAGGGGTTGTGAGTTTGGCTACAGCGAGCATACTAGGGGCTAGTGTGAACATTTTTCGCGAAGGGACGCAAGTGACACAGCAGCCGAAGAGCCGTGTTCAGGGCCAGCTCGGGCCGTCGAGAGGTGGTGCGGAGGCTCGGACTCTTGAGCGTCTGCTTCTCAGTCGGAGGATGTCGAAGGGAGTCGAAGGCGTCGACCGGTCCGCTCCACCGAGGCCGTGTCCGGCTGTGAGCCTGCGCGAGCTTTTGCTCGCAATGGCGAGGAGAAGGCCGCTGCACAGGCGCCCCCGCCCCCACCTGGAACACACCCACAGCATGTTCGAATTCTGGGCGTGGAGGTCTTTCGTCAAGCTACACCTGGCGTCGTCGCCGTGGCCCGGGGCTACCGGCAGGGAGAGAGACGCCGGAGCGGCGGGGCCGAAGATGGATTGCCGCCTTCTCTCGGCAGTGGTTTTGTGCCCTGCCTGCGACTTTTCAGAAGTTGCTGCATTTGAGACGGTATAATAATGTTTTGCATTGGCACGCCAGCTTCAGGTTTGGGATACTTCGCATGTTGTGACGCTGCCTGGCTGTGACTGCTATGCACGGCTATGCACGATGCGGCATGGGAAAGCGGATCCGAGGAACTATCATGTTGTGCGCGATCTGGCGCCTGGTGAACTGCAGATCGTTTTCATCGACCCTGTGAGCAAGGATGAAACCGAGATGCCAAAGCGGGAGATCTTGAAGGGCGAGCTCGTTGGTTCCGACCCCTTCACGGACACCGCCGTCATCAAGATCGTTCCTCCCACGACGGGAACGATGACCGTCGGTATGCATCCGCTCCCCACAGGGGAATCTTCGTCGCTCGAAGTGGGCCAGACCGTCTTTGCAATTGGGAACCCTTTTGGCCTGGATCATAGCATGATTCTCGCCAGAACTGGAATTTATCTTGTGGGTGTGAGTGTCATCTTCGGTATGGCCGAGGAGCCGCGGCATCATCTCTGGGAAGTCCAGGACTCTTGACATCGGCGAGAGGCCGGCTGCCTGGTGAAGGGTTTAGGGTTTAGGGCACATCAGGCCATCCCGACCACCAAATTCGTAAAACCTTCGGGAGATATCAGAAAGGAGCAGCAAAGAGTTGAATCACTTCACTTGAAGCGCTGCGCGGCAGTGTGAGGCCGATCCAGGGTTGCATTCAGACAGATGCATCCATCAATCCGGCACGGGCCCAAAGCATTAACATGCTGATGCGCATTCGATCTCCATTAAGCTGTGATTTGCTGCACGATTCGCTCCGAGATGCTGTGCGATTCTGAGGGCAACTCCGGTGGTCCCTTGTTGGACGCCGGCGGCCGCGTCATCGGCGTGAACACCGCCATTTTGACAGCTAGCGGCACCTCCGCCGGGGTTGGCCTGGCGATCCCAGCAGCTTGGTCATGGATGCCACGACATGCAACGGTGTTATGTGCGCTCCTCCCCTTCACTCCGACCTACCTTCGTTAGGTGGACACAGTGAAGCGCAACGTGGAGCTGATCCTGAAGCAGGGATTCGTCTCCCGTGGGTTCCTTGGAATCACCTTCGCCCCGGACCCGATCGCGGATGCACTGCAAATTCCTGGTGTTATCGTGTATGGGATCGTGCGAAATAGCCCCGCGGAAGCGGCAGGAGCGACAGCAACACTCGCCGTCCACTTCCGTGCGAGCCGCACCACCGAAACCTCCTGCAGTCCTGTAGGAGTTCGTCCGATGCTGAACGGAACCATCGGCGATGTGATTACATCTATGGACGCGAAGACTATTCGCACTGGTGCTGATGTCTTCCGGCTGTTGGACAAGAGGGCCTTGGCCTTTGCGTGACCGGCCCGGAGATACTGTCTCGACCGCTTTTCAGTCAGGTCCCCGGCGACATCGTGGCTTTGGGCCTGCAGAGGTTCGAGAGCATTCAAGACTAGAGCCCATAGCCGATGTATCAACTCTGACAGGGTTCCTTGCGCAGGGCCCGGAGGGATGTAGATGGGAATGCGATTGTGGACAAGTTGACGCTGAATGTTACGCTGAGCCCCTCGATTGAAAAATTATTGTCTTCCAATTTTCACAACGCCCTCACGATGGACCAAGGTTCAACTCCGCGGAAGCTGTGAGACCTGAATACCGCAGAACGAGCTGTGGAAGTTCGGGTGGTTGCTTAGGATCTAGGACCACTAGTCGGTCGCCGCGCTTGTGGCGAAACGCGTGGTACCGTGAGACACCATGTGCCGTCGACATCCTTGATGCAACCGAGATAACCAGCGAAACAAACCATGTTGCACTGTTTTGCTCAAGCTTTCGTGTCCCCAGCATCCCAGCAATGGCGTTTTTGAAGCAGCCTGAGCTCAGGCCACAACGAGAGGGCCCCTCACATCCCTCACGCCCTCTCCGATTCGCGAGCTATAGCTCAGGTAGAGCAGGGCAGCTGGCAGCACCACCAGCACGACATGTTCAAGAAAGGGTCAAATCCTCAGGAGCAGAGTCGCGAGAGTGTGATGTCATCCCATACCCGTAGTGGCCAAGGTATGTGGCACAAGGGCAGAATCTTTTATCCAAGAAGGAGCCGGCAGCTCGCGTTCTTGAAATGTAAAGTGTGCCGCCATGACATGCTGCGCCCCACTGTATGCCACGTACTGCTTCGCGTTCTTGTGGACTGCGAGAGACACTCGAGGATCTGAAAGCTTTAAAAGGCCGGGCCAGCGCAAAGACAAAGACAAAAAGAGGCCTGGGCCAGGCGGCTTCGCCGCCCTGTTTTGCTTTTCAGGGCAGCTCACCGAGCTCTTCCCCAGCCTCGATGAGAAGATGCTGGATGAGATCTTGCCGGAGGGTCAAGCCAAGGCCACGAGACTCAAGAAGGTTCTCTTTCCCGCCAGTATCTGGCACGGCCAATGGGCCAAGGTTGTGAAGCTGGACAACCGCTGCTTGCTGTATTCCTGCGGCGACGCAGCTCCGGCCTTCTTTGATGCGGAGGGTCGAGGTGAGCCTGGCCCTAAGAAGCGCTTTTGTTTTACAAGACTTTGCGTGCGATCGCATCCGCTCGCACGGCCTTGGCCCTCAGGTTCTACCCGACGCTGCACACGCTCTGGCAATTCCCGTGCTCCCAGCTTGAATCTGTCTCTCTTTGTTGTCTTCGACTTTGACGGCAGGCACATCATGCAGGAGCTGACTATTCATCCACCTGTGCAGAGCTCTAAGATTCGAAATATCCGAAACTCTGTACGTGCCACTCGCGTTCTTCGTGAGTTTGGATGTCGTCGGCACGACCGTCTGCACGTCCAGGTCGAAATTCGTGTTGAACGGTGCTGACCTGATGCTGCCCGGCGTTCTGGTGCCAAGCTGAGTGGCTCTGGAAGTCCACCGAACGGGACCAGATGCTGCGACGCGGTGAAAGGAAAGTTCGGTTTGTGCAGCCCTCTGTGCCGGCCCATCTCAGGTGCCTGCAAATGGCGTCGCTGGTTTCGGAACTGTGACGAAGGGCCAGAAAGAGCCTCAGCTTGGCGCGCGCGTGCGTGTGTGTGTGTGTGTGAACTTCCTTAGCACATGGGACCAGAGGGTCACTCCTTTGCCACTGCATGCATTTTTGTGCCATGCATGTCTTTGCAAAAGCACATCAGCAGGGGACACAGCATGTCACTGGGACTGTGTCCAACGGAGCTACCAGTGACATGGGAAGAGAGGACTGATCATCCTCTTGTACCTGCTAGGCAGCCCCCTGTGGTGCCAAGATTAGACAAAACCAGGACAGGCCCTTGTGGTGTTTACAGCAGGCCGTTGCATGCACATTCACGACAGTTCACAACAGACCCAACCCCACCCTTCTTTGTTTTTCCTGACCTCTTCCCTTGCCGAAATCCATCAGTGTGTGCGCATCTTTCAGACAAAGCATTCTGTGTGACTTTGGGCTTCTCCCAGGCCACGGTGCATCAAGATTGATGGCAACCCGTATCCTATCGCTGTTGGGCGAATGGTGGTGAACCAAACACAGATGGAGAAGCGGGGTCCTCAGACAGCGGCTTGGGAGCAGCCAGGGTCGAGGGTTGCGCCCGTCTGTGAGGTTGAAAGGAAAAGGCATGGAGGCCTCCGCTCCCCGCAGATCGGTTCCTCCCTGTGCCCTGAGCTTCAGCATCTTCAGCGGCAGGTGATGCACGTGTACAGAGACGCCTTGTGGGCGCAGTGCGGCAAGGCCTGAAGCATGCATGTGTGATCTTCCCGCAGTCCAGACAGCCAGGTGAAACCCAATGCCGGTTTCTCAGAAGAGGAGGAGGCGGCGGCTGGGTGTTCATAGTTCTGCCCGCTTGTAGGTCCAAAGAGCCTCACTCTATGGCAGGTAGCTCCGTGTGCAGACAGCAATTGGAAGCCTGGCGCGGCGCAGGGATCTCAGCTCTCTGCTGTAACGCCGATGCCCATTCTACAAAAGATTTTGTTTGCCCAAAGACTGTCATTCACCGACAGAGGGCAAACGTCTTGAAAAAAGGGCACGCAGCTTGCAGTACAAAGGATGCTACTGCTACAGTGCACAGGCTGCCACCCTGACGCCAGATAAGTTCGGCAAGCTAAACACAGCAAAGCCGTGATGTCAGAACAGATGTTTCACATTAACTGGATCTCAAGCAATTGCACAGCATTCCTCCCGAACCTCCTCCAAATACCTGTTCAACAAGAAGGCATGCCAAGAGTTGTTCGCAATTACGAGAAGACTCGTCCAATCATGGAAGTTGCAAAATTGCAAGCAGTCTACTTTTTTCATCCAAACACGAGGCTTGCAGGCCGTTGTTTCTGCTTGCGCAACCTCTCGCGGCCCCATGCCCCGATCCCAAATGCAAGTTTTCAGGCTTTTCAGGTGGGGGCTTGCTGATACACATTGTTGGCTTCATCAAGGATCATTACGCCCATTACGCATCTCTCGAGATGGGCTTTGCACACGCTACCCAAGATGCCTGAGCCCAAAAGCAGCGAGTGCAAAACGAGTCACGGTGTCCAAAACCCTTAGCCCGCTGACAGTACAACCCAAAAGGTTTGACCCTCAAACCTGCAACCGCCTTCCAAAAACAAAAGCAAAGCCTAAAGTTCGTCTCCTGCCTGACGCAATGTCAAGCCCTAAGCCTTGTGCCGCTGTCCCACTGCCACTGCTGTTGCTGCTGGCCCAGCAGCTACTACTCCTCCCCCTCCTGCTGCT